AGCAGCCAAGTTCCTGAACCAGCATAACGCTGGATTTCTCCTGGTACCTTCTGCCCGAACTGGGCAACGGCCCAGCTTAAGCAGCGCTGGGCCAGGACTGAAACCCCACGGCCTGCGTTCTGGACCGTGCAGATCGAAATCCGATCCACGGTCCAGATCACAGGTTTCGAAACTGGTTCAGCCCTTGGCCTAAAACGGCCTGCCTGGGTCCCTACCGGACGTCAAGGCCCTGCCCAGGGCTGGCCTGTTCGGTACCTGGTCCGATTCAGGGCCTATGCGAATGCATTGGGCCTGAACGTTGGTCCAGGTCCGAATGGCCCAAAATCTGTCCGAAAACAAAAAAGCGGTCCAAACGTTTTTGGAGGCTCAGCCTCTGGGCCTGAATCAGGTCCTGGCCCTAGAACGTGAACCTGGCCACAAAACGGACAACAGCACACACGTTAGAAGAACAATTGCAATTAAATAAATAAAAGAATATAAAAATACTCTAAAGCTGGCGTTTTTCTGATGCAGGCCCAAGTAAAAATGTCGTAGGGCCTTCAGGTTGCGGTGGCGCGACCTGGGGGCCCTATTCCAACCTCGGGTCCCGTGAGGGGCCCGTGTGTAGGCTCTCAGCATATAACACGCCCCCCTCCTTATGAAGACGAGCCGGTGCGCGGGCGAAGCTGCCGATCCGATGGCGGAATGTAGCGAGGATGGCGAGGAGCTGGAGTGCTCTGCGTAGTCTTCCCTTTGCGAGGATAGCATGAGAGAACGGCGGGGGCTGTGGCCTGCAGTTCCGAACGCGTCAGCCAACGGTCAGCCTTGTGGCTGCAGCAGGAAAAGTGAAGTAGAAACTCTGTTTCTTTGTTGCCATGGCGCCGGTCGGTGATGATGTAGCCGGCCTCTTGAAATCCGTCCATGGAAGGAGGGTCTTGCGTACGTTGACCGGGAAACTCGTCGGACTCCGCTGAAACAAACGGAGCGAGTTTGGAACAGTGGAACACCGTGTGGACGGCCAAGTGAGGTGGCACCGCGATGAGGAATGAAGGGCCCTCGGGATCATCACCAACTGCAGAGAGAATGCGCCAAGGCCCCATCCACTTGGGAAGGAGCTTGCGAGAGATGTCTTGCTCGAGGCTGAACTCCGC